AGCATTTAAAATAGTTCGTGGCACATAAAAAGCTATCTATAAATGATATTAGCTATTATTACATAAGTGAAAATTGTTCTCTAGAGCACTGAGTCACAGCCTTCTGAACATGAGGAGAGCTACTATTTGAAGTGGGAATTAGAAGATAGAAAGAAGTTTGCCAAGTATACGGGAAGAGAAAATCCAGTCAGTGGGAACAATATGAATAATGATTTGACAAAAGTAAATGTATTCAGGGAACACAGGTGGGATATGGGCAGATGAATTTTTATCAGTGCTGCTATTTTTGCTGAATGACTGTGGACTCACAATTACTCTTCTCATTTACTTATGTGAATAGGATACTCCTAAAAGTTTCCCTTTAATGTGCAAACATACATTATAGACAATCTAAGAAGGAAAACTATTTAACTTTCATGTGCCATTATTAATTCATTCAACAATTATTTAATGAGCACTTACTGCCCACCAGGCACTAATCTGGGTGACAGGGACACAAAATGAAGAAAGCCACAATGTATATACCCACATTTCAGCAAAGGAGACAAATACATAAAATGGCATGCAGTGCTGTAAGACAAAAAGACTATGAAGAAAAATAAAGTGAGATAAGGGGCTAAAGAGCAATGGGGAGATATTGGGTATTTTAGATAAGGTGGTCAGGTAGGGCCTCTGTAGAGGTGACATTTGAGAATACATCTGAATGAAGGGAGGGGCAAGCCAAGTTAATATCTGGGAGAGGTGCATTCTAGGTAGAAGAAGCTGCAAGTGAAGTGATCCCAAGACAGGAATATGCTTGGTGAGTTCATGGGCAAAAAGGTCAATGCAGTTGAAGCAGAGTGACTGAAGCAAAGAGTGACCAGAAATGAGGTTGGAGACGTGAGCAGAGACCAAATCAAACAGGACCCTGAGGTCAAGATAAGGACTTTGGGAAGCCATTGGAGAATCTGAAGCCAGGGCATATTACAGTCTGATTTGGGTTTTAAAAGGATCATCCTGTTGTTGTGTGAAGAAAAAAAAAAAGAGACTATAATGAAGGCAAAAGTTTTAGGGAACTTACTACCACAGTCTAGATGAGAAATGATGGTGGCTTCCACTGGGGATGAAAGTGGATTCTAAAGGTGGACCTACAGGATTAGGTAATGGAGTGAACAAGCAGTGAGAAAGAAAGATAGGAATCAAAGAAAGAGAACCTCCAAGTAGTGGGGTCATTTACCGAGGATGGGGAAACACTAGGATAGGAACAGATGTAGGAATATGTGTGGAGAGTGGTGAGAATCAATACTTCATTTTTGGTCATGTTAAGTTTGAGATGCCTATTAGACATCCAAATAGAAATGCTGATTAGACAACAGAATGTAGTAGTCTAGAGCCCAGAAGTGATACTAGAGCTAAAGATTAAACTTTCAAGGTCATCAGTATACATGCTACTAAGCTATGGACTGAATGAGATCCTCTAGGAAGTGTGGATAGATACAAAAGCAAAGAAGTCAGGTAACTGAGCTTTGGACACTCACCAGGGTATTAAAAGGCATTTCTGTTGATTTATATAGGTTCCAAGAGTTACGATGCTATTATTTTCTAATTAAAAAGAAATCATATAAAATAAACAGTTAAGAGGGATAGATTTACACTAAACTATTTTCCAAGGAATAGAGTCTTTCCTAAGGCCTCATTTATACTACATTTTTGCCCAGATTTAAGGGACCATATTGTACTGGGAAGATCAGCAGGAAACCAAGTAACAGAAGAATAGGAAGTCCTAGTTCTTGGTCCCTCCCCATCATTTGACCCTGTGCAAATCACCACACCTCCCTACACATACATTTCCTCACCAGCCTTTCTCACATACCTTACAGACAGTCAAGAGTGGAGAGTGCTGACTACTAAAACACATACGCAAACATATTATTATAACATTTTAAGATACAAATCAAACTTTTCCTAAAAAGTTATTACT